GATTAGCGAGTCCAATCCCGGATTGAAAATAGTATTGAAGTCACCCAACAAAATCAAATTCTCTGTATCCGGGATGATAGCTGGTAGATTAGCAAAAAACTTCATTCTCTCTTGTTATTCTATTAGGGCATAGATTGACATTATTCCCCAGTTCTCTGATCCCACAACCAACTTGACCCACACCCACCTACCGGCTGGATCCATGCATGAGTCAGTTATAGTACAGTCCAGGTCCTTGTTAATTAAAATCGCCGTCCCTCCACGGGTATCGTTGGCTGGGGCCTAGAACTGTGGTCTCTCCCACCAATCAGAAAGTTTAGCTATTTTAGTTGAGTTGAGTTTGGTCTTCTGCAAGGCCAATATGTGGACAGCCTTCTTATGAATCCATCTTTTTAGCCGAGGTTTTTTGTCCCTGAATGAAGTATCTCCCAGTCCCATGATATTCCATGAGGCGAGTCTAATTTTACTGGGCAAGACCATTACTGGGACTTGCGCCGTCAGTCTGTTGGATACGGTTTTCCCCTTCTGTAGAAGCGGAGGAAGCAGGAGTAACTGCAGTTGAAATCATTCCTTGCAGGTTGTTGAGTAGAGAATCTCCGCTCAAGGTTCCCTGCATGTCTGCATGTTTAATCCAATCTGCCAGTTCCTTTCCTGTCAAACCCTCCGCAAGTCTTATCTTAGAGACTGATTCCACTCTGTTACGTGTGAAATCATAGAGAGTGGACCAGTGTACTCTGAGGTTACTCCACTTATCAAAGGAGGTGCTCAATTTCTGCAACCCAAAAATGTATATATGTAACAAGGCAGAGTCACCCTCGGATAGGGTAGAGATGTATCTGTGTGGACGCACCCCGGGGATGAGTTGTACCGACCCCGTCCTATGCAGAACCTTGCGTCTTGTCAGCTTTCTGGCCTCTTCCACTAAGGGTTGACCAGGCACAGGAATGGTAGGTAATTCCAAGTCTTTTTTTTCTGTCAATTTGGTCAATACCATAATTCCCTGAGGAGAGGGCGAGAGAATAAGCGGCACGAGTAGATCTTTGATTGGAATTATCAAATTATTTCTCTTCTCCTGCCTTGGTAGAGTCTTAATGGGGGGGGTCAACGAGAGAGCCTGGTGGATCAATCTTTCAGCCTGAAGTCTCTTCCTACTGGTCTCTCCCTTTTGCTTTTGATTTACAGGGTCCTGCATGAAATCGGAGAATTTTATGGGTCTGGCTTGACCGTCAAGCATTCTTGTTTTTTAGGCGGCTGGGCCTCTGCGCACACGGTCCCTGCCTGTCGATATGTGGGGCTGGTTTGTCCCTCGTTGATTGTTACGTTTGGCCCCAAATTGCAGATTCTTTGGAAGGACGTGCCTAGGTACCGCTGTTTGCAGTTGTGAAAGGGGGGCAGCGGACCCATCTATTTTTTCAGAAGGGACCACTGACTCTTTTGTTTTTTCCAATAGAGGGAGGGTCTCAGGCTCAGTAAAAGGGTTATTCACGACAACTTTTGGGGGGGGGATTTTTGCCCAACCTTCGGGGGGTGAGCCCGAGGCAGCGTCCTCTCCCTGCGGCTGTCCTGAGTCGGTGGGAGCATTATCGTTCTTTAATGGTGTAGAAACACCATCCCCCTTCAAGATCCTTGAATCAGTCTCCTCATATCCCTCGTCTCCCACTCCCTTCTCCTCGTCCCTTGGTTCCTCCTAATTACCCCCTTCCGTCTTCTGATGACCTCCCCTTCGTCCATATTTTCCTTTAGGGAATCTTTACTGTGGTCAGAGACCCACTCACTTTCTGCATCGCTATAATCCTCTTCCCTTTCTGAGAGATCACTCTCAGAACCCATCCTTTCATCATCGTCGGTTGGGATGTCCTTTGCAACTTCCCTTTCTGAGAGATCACTCTCAGAACCCATCCTTTCATCATCGTCGGCTGGGATGTCCTTTGCAACTTCCCTTTCGGATGTTTCATCCAGGAGACTCACTTCTATTTCTTTCCTTTTTCTGTCGGTCCCCTTTCCCACCCTTGTCAATTTGCCAGTGCCTTCGGTGCTCGAGTCCGCATCAGAATCCTAGTCTGAAATCAAAACCTCGTCTGAAGCTGGTGGAGGAGGGGGAAGCTCAATGGTTTTAATTTGTCCTTCTTCCCTACCGTTCACCTCTTTCCCAAGGGTAGGCTTCTTCTGTCCTTCCGTTGGGATATCATTGGTAGGCAGTTTCTCTGCCATTTTCTCGGTTTCCTTCTCTCCTCCCAGGGGGGTGGCCGCTTTCTTACCCGATACGACTGCTTTCCACTTCTTTATTGTGGAAGCCGCCAATCGGGGTTTGCCTTTAAGATTGCTTTTACCTTTCCGCCGTTTCCCCTTTCCCTTTACTTTCTTCTGCCTGTCCTCTTTACACACGGAAGAGTCTTTTCCTTTTCCTCCGTGTGTCTTTCCTTCCTCCGTAGCAGCCTTAGGAATGTGGTGCTCGTTCTCCTTTTGGACTTTATTCGCGTCAAATTCTCGGGTCTTATCCTTCTCTGTGGTCTTTGGAATGCCCGCGTTTGAGACTTTTTTCTGGATTGGCTTTTCTTTCCCTTTACCCTTTTGCCAGTCATCCGGTTTGGCCGGGCAGAACGAATCAGAGGAGGAATGATAAAAACGGCGGCAAACTTCGCACCAGGGCGTGTCAGCACATACTACGTCCACATTAATCTCTCCCTCCTCCCCCAGGTCTATGAGCAAGGCTTCCTGAAATCTCATTTTGGCATAGGGTGTTAGATCGAACCTGATATCTTGCAGTTCGGGAGAACCCCTTACTTTAAAGGGTGTACGAGTTTTCAGAATTTCTCCGTAGGCGTCTTCCACTAACCCCTCAAGAAAGGCCATGGCGGTAATCGAAACCTGGAGACACCTAACCCAAAAATATGGAGCTCGCATTTGCATCTCTCCAATCTGCCAATTGCGCGTCTGACATCCATTGACCAAAACAAAGCGAGTATTTTTTTTTGTCCAGTACCACGTCTGAGTGGGCTTTGTTTTTCATCCACTTTGCTATTTCCGGCGACGACGCCACATAAGTCACCAAGTTCCTCGCTTCATTATGAAACAAGCCTCTTATTGGTGGAGCATTTATGGACTTGGCCGAGGCCCATCCGTCTTCGTAAATACGAACCAGCTTACGTTTGACTCCGACGGGAAGGGATGTGGAGTCATCACAAAGAAACGCCGTGACTGCGTGGTCCTTGAGCCACTGGACTTGGACTTTGTAGAGTTCCTTACTAACTTTGACTCTAATATAACCCTCACCCCTCTCTACTATATTCGGGGCTAGTTTCTTGGGCAATATTCCATTCAAATAGCATTCACTCAGGGTTTCCCTAATACGGGATATGTCTTCCTTTGAGAGGGGAGGGTCAGGTGGTTTAGATGAGGCGTCAGGGGGGGGGGGAGGGATCGTTGACCGCTCCACTTCCGCCATTCTGCCTGAAATAACCCTACCTGTACCCAAGCCTAGCAAGAGGATAAACAGTAATAACGCGCGCATACAGAGACTTCCACAAACAAGGGACAAGACGACGAAACCCCCCCCAGGCCCAAGTTTTAATGGATTACCATTTCTTTAGGAAGATGTCTGCACCACCCCGATCGCTGAAGTGAAGCAAAAATCCCCTCCTCGGGGCCGAATAATGTTGATTTCCGATAAGCAAAGCGCCTGAAAGAGCGGCAACGGAGCGTCCCTGACGCGGAGTAACCCTTTTTAATCGGTGCATTCTCCCCTAGCCCGAAAATAGGCTTGAGTTCCCTAGGAACTGCCGAGAGCGAAGGCTCACTCTCCTCGAGATAACCGAGGTTAATGGAGCCTTCGCGCCATACCATCTTCCTCATGCAGTCGTTTCGTTGAGAACCCCCAACTCCTTCGCCCAACACCTACGAGCGCTAATCTCTGCCCTAGTCTTGCTAAGCGTCTAGCGCCGCCGAAGCGGCGCTTAGCGCTGGCAAAAATAGCGCTAAAATTAGTGCACGTTCCGTCCGCCGACACACATTATTTTAGAGAGGCGGGTGATTTTCGAGATTTTTGTTTCGAGCGCGGGAGCGCGTTCACGTAACGAGCCACAAACGACAAAAGCGCGGGGAGCGCCACAGAAACAACTGCAAAACAAGGGCCCAGTACCCAAGGCTCATATTGGGGCCTCGCCACACCACACCCGACTTGGGAAAATTTTTGGGAGTGCTCCCGGAAGTGAAAACCCGCTCGGGAGTGCCTTTCGCCACACTACACTCTCGACCCGGCCGCGCTCAAATTCTGAAAATGTCATTTGCCACATATGGACACGATCAGTGTGAAGCAGTCTGGCAGAAGTCGTTTGTCCCTTCCGGCTCCACTCCCGAATCTGGGTTGAAACTCGGAGGAGCGAAGGAGGTCTCTCAAAAAAAAAGCTTTGCAGGCGGTGAGTTCGGGAGTGCTCTCGGGAGGCACATTTTGACAGCTCCCGAATTCAATCTGACAGCTTGAACTCGGGAGCTGGTGTGGCGATGCTGCACTCCCGAAAATGGCCAAGTCGGGAGTAGTGTGGCGAGGCCCATTATCATATGGAATACAATTTTTATTTTTATTTTGTTTTTTTGGAAGAAAGGCCTCGTTCTACTACTCTCGATCCCCATGGCCGCCTGTAGCACTCTTGGTGCCAACCAACTGAGATAGTCAGCTGGGTCCTCCCAGTCGGTATCAGTAAGGTCTTCAGCCAACAAGGGTGCGAGTGCGTTTGTGAGTGGGTTGTGTGTGGCGTGTGGGAGAGTGTTGGCTGGGTTGTGTGTGGCGTGTGGGAGAGTGTTGGCTGGGTTGTGTGTGGCGTGTGGGAGTGTTGGTTTTAGACACCACAGTTACTCGATGGGGGTGGGGGAACATGAATAGGGAGGCACAGTTACCGGCAAAATGCTCGGTCTTTGTGCTAGCCAGGCCCTCACGGGCGGCCCCAACCCTGCACCCTAAAACTCTAGGGCAAAGGGGCAAACATGCCGTTACCCCTCTCCACCGAGAGAGGTAACCTCCCTTCACCGAAGAGAGGTAGAAAGGTATGCTTGCAGGGGTCCCCTGTATAGCCTTAGGAGTAGTGGTAGGCAGTGAAAAGAAAGATATGTTCCGTGACATGGCAGAACGCCAGTTAAAAGAAAGATATGTGAGGTGAGAGAAAAATATATGGCTGTCCCCCAATGAGGAGAAGGCAACTTTTTTTATTAAAACAAGGGGGCCCTACGCGGCTCCGGCCGCGGAGTGAGAGGCGAAGGTGTGGAGAAAAAGGACCCAACAAAAACGGAAATGGCACATCATTGGCCGTTGACCCTTTTTTTTACAAAAAAAAAGAGAAAAAAGAAAAACGAAACCGAAAAACACAATTGCCAAACCCCAACTCTCCAGGCGTACCGACCCCCGACCTCGACTTTTCTTCCCCGTCCCCGATTCCCCACCTCCCCTATCCCGACGTTCTCCAATCCGGACTGCATCCCAACTCCCCATCCCAACTTCCCGTCATGGGCGGACTCATCGCGACCTTCCTCCCCATCCCTCCTTCGAACCCACCTTCTCCCCTTCTTCATCCCTCCTCTAATCCCGACTCCATACCAACTTCCTCCGTGTCGAACTTAGCATGATTACGCGAGGCTGCCGACTGAAAAA